TCTTTTTGCCTACATATCAAGCATGTCTAATGCAATGCAGCATAATGATGAACTCATGTACTCACACTCTCAGAGTACTTAATCTCACAATATTGTATATGGCCAATTCAGCCCAAGGAAGATCCATCCTCTATATATATATATATATATATATATATATACATAATAACTGACATTCAGTCACTCAGTACTGGGCCAATCCAGCCCAGGGAACTCCATCCCAAATATAATAAATGATTCGGGCAAGTTCCATGCCTAGGGAAATTATAAATAAATAAGGCAACTCCATGCCATGGGAAGTCCATCCCAAATATAATATCATTTGTGCTCACTGTGAGGAGTGCAGACTCCAGAGGGGCTCCTTCAACCCAAGCGCTATAATCCGCACAGATAACTCACGTGTTGCACGGACAACTCATGTGCTATAGTATAATATCTAGATCCGCACGGATAACTCAAGTGCTGCACGGATAACTCACGTGATATAGTATCAATATCTGGATCCGTACGGACAACTCACGTGGTGCACGGATAACTCACGTGCTATAATAAGCCAATCTGGCCTGTTGCGACGTGCAACCCAATCCCATAATAATATAGCCTATAAGGCCTGCTGCGGTGTTCAGCCCGATCCATATAATAATAGAGTATATAAATCCAATATGGCCTGTTGCGGCGTGCAGCCCGATCACATAATTATCCTCACAATCAGGCCCTCGGCCTCACTCAATCATCAACCTCTCCAGTCTTTCGGGCTCACAATATCATGAAACTACCCCAAAATGATGATATGATATATCAATAAATAACAACAGAGATTGAGATATGATATGCAATGAATGAATATGACTGAGTATGAAATTATAGTTTAACATATAATTCGATAGCAAAAATGACCTCAGTGGTTCCCAATAATACCAACATTTGCCTAAGCATAATTTCTAACATGAGTCACAACTCAGTTTCTCTAACACATAAAAATACATGGAAAAATACAAGTTAATTGACTATACAACTCTACAGAATCATCCGAGTCTCAATTTCTACGGTGCACGCCCGCACGCCCGTAACCTAGCATGTGCGTCTCCTCCAAAAAATTCACATAACACGTATAATTAGGGTTTATACCCTCAGCTCTAAGATTAGAAATGTTACTTACCTCGAACAAGCCGAATCCGATGCCGACCAGGCTAATCAGTACTCCGAAAATTCCATTCCGCGCTTATCAATCTCCAAACGCCTTCCTATCTCCTAAATTCAAGCCAAACGATCCGTATCTATTCAAACAACGTGGAAATTAATTACAATGTACTCCAATGCTTACAATTTAATAATTTATAAAAATTTTCAACTCCGCTCGAAAAGTTGACAGTGGGGACCACATCTCGAAATCTCACGAAACTCACAAAATCTGACAACCCATTCAATTACGAGTCTAACCATACTAGTTTCACTCAAATTCGACTCCGAATCAACATTCAAATCCCAAAAATTTATTTTATGAAATTTCTACAATTTTTCCCAAATTTGCATCTCAAAATACTAATTAAATGATGAAAACAATGATATATTCATGTATGTTAACCAAATCCGAGTTAGAATCACTTACCCCGATGAATTTCTTTAAAATCCCACGAAACATCGCCACAAATCGAGCTCTCAAAGTTCAAATATGAAATAATGCTCTAACCCTCGTTCATATAGTACAAAATCTGATCTCCCATTGGGCTAACCGTAAATTTTTGTGCGGTCCGCACATTCCAGGTTCTACGGCCGCACTTCAGAAACCACTACACTACCAAGTTTCAGTAAATTGACCATAACTTTCGGTAGAAATGTCCAAATGATAACTAGTTTACCTTTATGAAAATTAGACTCAAAGAGTTATAACTTTCGATTTTGGATCATCTCTAATTTCCTTGTAGATTAAAAGATATAAGCTTCCGAAATCGGACCATCGAACCTGCAGAATTCCTTTTCTGCGGCCGCAAGAGGAATTCTGCAGTCCATAAGAGGATTTCTGCGTTTCGCAATTCTCCTCTGTGGTCCGCAATTTTCCTCTAAGATCCGCACATGAGTCTTTGTCTCAGCACTCCAAAATGTGCCTCCGCACTCCTACTGTTTCCAGAACATCATTAGAGTGTCGAAATGCCCAAACTCGCTCAAAACTCGCCCCCGAACACACCCGAGCAACTCGAGACCCCATCCGAATATAACAACAAGTCCCGTAACATAACACGGACCTACTCGAGGTCTCAAATCACACCTAAGAAAGATAAAAATACGAACCGCACATCGATTCAAGCATAAGAACTTATAAACTTCTAAATTCTACATTCGATGTCGAAACCTATCAAAACACGTCTGATTGACCTCAAATTTTGCACACAAGTCCTAAATGACAATACGGACATGTTCCAACTTCCAAAATCAAAATCAGACCCCGATATAAAAAATTCCACTCCTAGTCAAACTTATGAACCTTCCAAACCTTCAAATTTCTAACTTTTGCCGATTAGTGTCGAAATATTCTAGAAATATCCAAATGAAATTCCGGGAATACGCCCATGTCCAAAATTACCATTCGGACCAAACGGAATCATCAAAACTCAATTTCGGAGTCGTCTACACATAAGTCAAGATCTGATCAACATTTCAAATTAAGCTTTAAACATTGAATTTCATTCTTCCAAACTAACTCCGAAATACCTGAAAACCAAAACCGACAATTCACACAAGTCATAATACATCATATGAAGTTATTCAAGACTTCAAATAGTAGAAAGGAGCGTAAATGCCCAAAACGACATGTCGGGTTGTTATAGATACAAAATTCACCGGCCGGGTTTACACATAAAAACTTATAAGCTTTCATAAAAGAGTATCATCAATCTCAAAAACCGAGACATGAATTCTATTAACTAATTATTATTTCGCCAATGTATATCATTATTGTCCAATTTACCAGGCTTATTGACCCACGAAAGAATCTCGTCTTTTAATAAATCAAAACAATAAATGACACACATAACTAATAATAATTATATCAAGATTAAGAGTAAACATACATTGAATGGATTAAAGAAATTATTTTATTAAGTAAGTATAAAATACTTATCTCTACTTGATCCGTTCAATACACACAAAATGTACTAGCACAAGAAGTCGGAATTAAATCATTCCCATAATCAAGATAAATTATATTTAATCTTGTGCTACAACCATTCCGATGGTTTGTCCAATTCCATCATTAGATTGTGAACATAAACTTTATGACTTATAAGAATCGATGATTTAATCTTCCGTGTATAAACTAAACTTTATACACTAAATCATCTATTATATAAGCAAAGGGCACACAGACAAACACATGATCTATTTAAAATAAACATTTTATTTAATTAAATAAATAAATAAATAATTATTCCATAAAAAATACTATAACTATACGCATGATTTATACTATATCCTAACAGGTCGTACAAAGAAGATTTGTAGGAGTGAAGTTCCCATCTCTTAGGCCATATGTCTCTTGACAGGTAAAAAAAAAATGAATTTACTGTAGTTTCTTCTTTCAAATAAGCTACACACCTCACTGGCATGTTGTCTAAAAACAGCCACGCGTTAGTAAAAACTAAGAAATAAATAGATGAAATTACATGTTGAAGAAAAAACAACAATTGACTTCCAAGTGATTGCGAACCTTATGCCCTTGAACTTGAAGGGAAAAAGAGGAGAACAAAATACAAGGAGAAGATGATAGTTTCTTGCAATCTACGTCTTTGCTAATCCTTTTTAATTATTACTCATTTGCTATTCGTTAGTCATGCACCTAATAGGTTTTAATTTGGACGTGAAAAACAAGGAAGCTTTTGAGGAATTTTGATAAAAGTGATTGATCTGAGTTGTTAGACAAATGCCATCTAAGTAAAAGGATAGAGATCATGAAGATAATAATATAACCAAAAGGGATTCCACGCTGTTGACTTGGTCACTTGGTTAAGCATACTGTAGTGTGTACTGAATTTTTCTCTGTCCGTCTTAATGCATGTGATATTATGATTGGGTACGAATTTAGAAAAAAAACTTAGACAATAAATTATAAATATTTGTATGGTTATAAACAATCTCATTAAAAATAAAATAAAAAGTTTAAAATTAAAAATATGCAACATCCTTAAGAAGGAGGAGATATAAGCAGTGGGGCTTTTGCTCTCCGCGCATGATACGCTAGAGCTTGCTATTGTGCACCAACTTCCATGCCGCGTAAGAAATGGCAGATAGTCTGACTGCCGACGCATGATCTCTAAGGCACCACCGCTGTAGAAAATCCAGGAAACTACGTCGATAGAGGAAGAGGAAGCTATACTAGTTTTGGAGACGGGAGTGGATACACTTGTAGCTGTTAGAAAGCTGGAATTCTCTACTGATCATTTACCTGCAATATTTCATTCATCTATGGACAACATATCATAGCAAATAGGAAGGGAATGTGGAACCAACTGAGAGCTATACATAGTATTCTGAGTAGTCATTGACTTATACTTGGTGATTTCAACACCCTGCTAACTATGAAAGGTAGAATTAATGGGGCTCCTGTCCATATAATGAAACTATAGACTTTCAAAGTTGTGTAGATGATTTGGGTTTAGGCCAAATTACTAGAAGAGGTTGCAGTTGCTCTTGGTGCAACAAAAAAGATGCTGGTAAAATAATATACATCCATATTGATTGGGTCTTTGAAAATGTAGAATGGTTCCTTAAGTTTGGCAGTATTAAATCTATATATATGAACCCTAAATTTTCAGACCATTCTCCTATTGTACTTGATACTAAAGTGACAACCAAAAGGACTAAGAAACCTTTTAGATTGTTACATGTTCTGGTGAAACAAGAGAGTTTCAAATAAAAGGTACACACAATATAGGGACTTAAAGGCATGACATACTATATTTGTAATATGGAGCAAACTAAAAGAGATTGAGATGCAAACCAGAGGCATGACCATAGAATTCTCCTCTCTGGAGAACAAATTGAATAATCCGCAGGTGAAACTGAAAGATGTGCAGGATAGTCTTAATGCTAACCTGTTTAATCCCCAACTAATAAATGAAGAAAGGGAATCTATCATAGAACCACCTAAATGGGAAGCAATACAAGAGAAGGTACTGAAACAAAATTCTGGAGCTACTTGGATTGCCTGTGGGGATGTAAACTCTAAATTCTTCCATGCCCACTTGATGGCCATACAAGCCAGAAATAGAGTGTCCAACATCTTGACTGAGCAGAACCTGAAAATTACAAACCTGAGCAGATATAGAAGGAATTCATTAAATTCCTTCAGAACTTACCGGGGGAAGCTGCACAAGAACTATCTTGTATTGATCCGAATATAATTAGAGATGGACCTTGCCTTACCTTGATCCAACAGCAACAGCTGCTAAAACCTGTTAGTAAGGATAAAATCCTACAGGCTTTTAGGAACATGCACACTGTCAAAGCACCAGGAATAAGTGGGTTCCCAGTTAAGTTCTTCAAAGAATTTTGGCCATTAATTAGAGAGGATATTATCATAGATATACTCCAGTTCTTTCAGAATGGTAATCTACTTAAGGCTATTAATTTCACAACAATCACCTTAGTGCCAAAGGTACCTAATCCTACTTGTGTGCTGGATAAACTGGTTGGAGCATCTTAATCAACTTTCATTGAGGGTAGAAATATCCTAGACAATATTATCATAGCTCATAAGTTGATCAAAGATTATACTCAGAAGAATGTATCTCCCGGATGCATGCTCAAGGTATATATAAAAAAAGCTTATGTTACTGTTGAATGACCATTCTTGAAAATGGTGCTATTGGAATATGGGTGTAACGACCCGGCTGGTCGTTTTGAGTATTACAGCCTCGTTCCCCCATTTACTGCTCAATTTGTGCTTTAGAGTTGTTATGTGACTTGTAGGGGTAATTGGTTCGGGTCCTGTGAGGTTTCGAAATGAATTGAGACACTTAGTCTCAAGGATGGAAACTTAAGTTGAAAAGGTTGATCGAATGTTGAATTATTTATAAACGATCCTGTAATAGAGTTTTGATGATTCCAATAGCTCTGTATGGTGATTTTGGACTTAGGAGCGTGTCCGAAAAATTATTTGGAAGTCCGCAGTTAAATTAGGCTTAAAATGGCTAAAATAGAAATTTAAGTTTGGAAGTTTGACGGGGGAGTTGACTTTTTGATATCGGGGTTGGAATCCGATTCTGAAAATTGGAATAAGTCCGTTATGTTATTTATAATTTGTGTACAAAATTTGAGGTCAATCGGACGTGATTTGTTAGGTTTCGACATCGAATGTAGAAGTTGAAATTTCTTAGTTTCATTAGCCTTGAATTAGGGTATGATTCGTGTTTTTAGCATTGTTTGATGTGATTTGAAGTTTTGACTAAGTTCGTATGATGTTTTAGGACTTGTTGGTGTATTTGGTTGAGGTCCCGGGGGCCTCAGGTGAGTTCTGGGATGGTTTCAGATCATTTCTTCATGTCTTGTTACTGTTGTTGCTGGTTATAGTATTGTTCATCGCGAACGTGTAGGTGTTATCGCGTTCACGTAGAAGGATGTGGGCTGCAGAGTGTTTGTGCTTCGCGTTCGCGATTGGAGCATCGCATTCGCGAAGGGGAAAAACTTAGCCTAGGAGATTTTAGCCTTACCGTTCGCGAAGGAGGAGCCGCATTCGCGAAGGGTTGGGGGTTGCATGCATCGCGATCGCGTAGAAGGGCGAGGCAGGCTGGGCACTAGGCCATAAGGGTTCGTGTTCGCGGTCAGTGGGACGCGTTCGCGAAGGACAAGCCCTGTAAGGCATCGCGTTCGCGAAGGAGGAATTTGGGCAGAATATTTTTTGTGCTTCGCGAACTCGAGGCAATGGCCGCGTTCGCGAAGAAGAAAAGCCTGGACGGAGAGTTTAATTTTTGAAAATCCCATTTTCTATTTTTATCGATTTGGAGCTCGGGGAGAGGTGATTTTTGGGAGATTTTCAAAAAAATAACAAGGTAAGTGTTCTTAACTCAATTTTGGTTAAATTACCGAATCTATGGTCATTTTCAACATTTAATTGGTGATTTAAGTTGGAAAAATTTGAAAACTCTCTTGGTTAAATTTGAAGATTTGAGGGTCGAGTTGATGTCAGAATTTGGTAAAATTGGTATGGTTGGACTCGTGGTTGAATGGGCGTTCATATTTTGTAATTTTGTCGGGTTCCGAGACGTGGTCCCTATGGGCGAATTTTGAGTGCAATTTCAGATTTTGTTGAAAAATTAGTATTTTCACATAGAATTAATTTTTATAATTTGTGTTGACTGAGTCGAATTAATTGTGACTAGATTCGAGGCGTTCGGAGGCCGATTCGCAAGGCAAAAGCTTAGCAGAATAAAGAATTACTCGATTTTTTGATACCAACTGTCACGACCCGAAATTCCTACATTCGGACCGTGATGGCGCCTAACATTTCACTTGCTAGGCAAGCCAACGTTAGAATAATATTATCCATTTTAAAAATAATTTTAATTTATTAATTACAAGGAAACAAATGCGGAAGCAAGATTTGAAATATAGTGAAATAATCTATAAAAACAACGGTGTCTAAATACCATTCTAGAATTGGTATCACAAGTGCACGAGCTTCTAGAATAAATACAAATAAAGGTCTGAATAAAATA